CAGGTAGCTTTATTGCTAGTATTTAGAACCCTTAGGAAATGACTACTTCTCCAAGATGACTTCTAGGTATAGCTGGCTTTTGGGTTTGAGTCGCTTTTGGGTTTGAGTCTCTTGCAGAATCCTACCTCTTCAATTTATTTTATTTTATTTTTTATAATTACTTAATTAAGGGCTGGGGATTTAGCTCAGTGGTTCTGCCACCTGCCTCTCAAGTGCAAGGTCCCAAGTTCGATCCCCAGTACCAAAAATTTTTTAATTAATTAAGACCTTAAAAAAAAAAGAAAAAGAAAAAAAAAGGGGGCCCGGGATTTAGCTTAGTGGTTCTGGAGCCTGCCTCACAAGCACACTTTTAACCATTTGAACTATATTTGTGGTTATGTAACAAAATGTAAAATAAACTAAAAAATTATATACAGTAAATATGAAATTGTATAAACTAAATATGCTTTCAATATGATGATTTATCCTCAGGAGAGAATTTTTTTTGTTTGTTTGTTTTTGTTTTTTGAGACAGGGTCTCACTATGTAGTTGAGACTGACCTGGAACTCACTGTGTAGCTCAGGCTGGTCTCGAACTCACAGCCATCCTCCTGCCTCAGCCTCCCGAGTGCTGGGATTACAGGCATTCGTCACCACACCCAGCCAGAAGAGAAAATTTAAAAGAGGTTAGAATGAAAAAATAGAGAAATAGGAAAATAGAAAAAGATTAGAAGCAAGGCTGGAAGACAAAGAAAGATTGCATAAACTTTAGAAAACTGATGAAGAAAGGGAAAGAGAAAAGGAAGAAATAAAGAAGGACAGCAAAAAAGAAAACAAAATTAGAAACAATGTTCACACATAACAAGAATAATCAAGAAAACAAAACAAAAATAAGAAAAGAAAAAAAATGTCCACTTCAGGGCGTGTCTCTGCTGTCACTAGTAGGCAGAGTGGGCAAACAAAGCCCAGATCCGTGTCAATTAATCCCAGAGAGCCAGCTGTAGATTTATGGTGGGATAGTAGATAATCCCAGCAAGCTTGCATCTTTAGTTCCACTGAAGTTCAGGCTGGTTTCTGGCTGTGAGGCTGGGACCCTATTTGTTCAGAATGCAATAGTCTGTGTGTCTTCTGCTGTCTTTGAACTCAGCTCCTTGATCTCCTACCAACTTGAATTTGGTTCCACCTCACTGTAACACTGGAGCTGCTAGACAGAGCCAGTCTGAAGCTGCTCTTGAGTTCTGAGCTCACTTGACTCACTTGGCCTCTGCAAGGTGGCTACTGGCCAGTTTCCCTCTCCTGGGGGACGTCTGAACCCAGATAACTCACCATCCACCATAGACTACTGTCTCCACTGCTCCATTCCATTGATTTTATTCTCTGTGGAGGCCTATGAGGTTGCCAGTAGTCACTGTGTCTTTAGGCTTGAGCTGCCCCTCACTTGCAGTGAATCATTGGTCAGGGAAGCACTGTTCTCTCTCTTCACTCTTCCCATGGGCTTTAGTTCCTGGTTCACGTCCTCTCTGGGTCTCGGGAACCCACTTTTTCTACCTTCTTTTCCTCACGTGGCTATATTCCCGTGTCTGGACACCAAATCTCAGAGAGGCTGTGTATCTGCTGTTTACTCCTCCATCTTTCTATAAGTCCTACCTCTGTGCTCTTAAGGACTATGAGCATCCTCTTGAGTGGCCATCTTCTTCCTTGTAGACCTGGCAGTGCCTTGATGTTAGAGCAGGTGTCCTTTTTGGGTGAGGCTTGCACAGTGCAAGGAGGTTACCCCAGCCTTTGCCGTGGGGGGCCAGCACAGAAAGTCTAGTCCATGGGGACCTGGGGCAGCAGCTCCAGAGTGGTCACCCAGGCAAGTGTGGGGGGTGGGTTTTAAGAGGCTTCTCTGTGGGGATTCCATGAGGACGAGCACATGGGTTCAGTTTTGGAAACTGGTCTGAAACCTGGCTCTATCATTTCCTCAGAAGTCCCGGGCAGTCCTTCCTAGAAACCTCAGCCCCCTTCTAGAAAGTCAGAGGCTCAGACCTGTTTGGCCTTCCTTGTAACAGGATAGGAAGTAAGGGCCGGGGATTTAGCTCAGTTGCAGTATGCCTGCCTGGCAAGTACAAGGTCCTGAGTTCAATCCCTGGTACTTAAAAAAAAAAAGGTAGGAAGTAAATGCTGGTCACCACTTTGTGGGTGGGTGACCTGAGCTGGTGTTCACTTATCCTCTCTGTACCTAGTACTGAATTTCAGGCCACATATAATAGCTTCTGAAGGTAGGTGGGAAAGCACACGTGTTAGTGTTACATGCTCGTCCTTGGGGACACAGTGTGAGCACAGCTGGAGCAAGTCCCTTTGCTCACAGAGCATGGACCTAATGAGCAGGTGCTGTTAAGATGAGGCGATCATTTAAACAGGCTTCAGATTGTATGGCCTGTGTATGCTGTGGTTGGAGACTGAGCGGGCTGGGAGATTGGGCAAGGCTTCCTGAGGAAGGGATGTGGCAGGCCAGGGCATGGCTGGGAGCAAGCAAGCAAACATGTATTGTGCAGCAGGTCCCTGCATGGACTGCCTTTTAGGGCACCCTTCCAGGTGGCAGATTCTTTCCTCAAGTTCTTTTATGATTTTCATAGCCAGAAGGCCAAATTCGGCTGGGTGTAGTAGCATGCACCTATAATGCCAGCATTCTGGGAAGAGTGCATGTTTGAAAAAAAAATACTGCACTAGAAAATGTACCAAAATTAACAGTAATTTGATCCCTGTGCAACATTACAAGGATATTTTTTCCTTCCTTTTTTCAGAATTTATATTCCACAGTCAATTTATATTCATTTAGTAATCTGAACAAAAGTTAATGAAACAAATGTAAGCAAGACAGAGATGCATATGGGAGATAAGGTTTGTTTGTTTTTTGTTTTTTTGAGACAGGGTCTCACTATGTAGTTGAAACTGAACTGGAACTCACTATGTAGCCCAGGCTGGTCTCGAACTCACAGCCATCCTCCTGCCTCAGCCTCCCGAGTGCTGGGATTACAGGTGTGAGCTACCACACCTGGCTAGACTTTTTCTTTTTTTGAGGTCCTGAGGATTGAACCCAGGGCCATCACACACCCAGGTCTTTTTTTTTAAATAAAGTCTTGCTAAGTTATTAAGTTGCTTAGGTTGGGGTTGAATTTGTAACCCTTCTGCTTCAGCCTCCCAGAGTGTTGGGATTATAGGTGTGTGCCATCATATCTGAGTAACTTTTCTTTCTTTTTTTCTTTTTGTTGTTGTTTTTGCTGTTGGTGTACTGGGGATTGAACTCAGGACCTGGTACTTGCCAGGCAGGGGTGGTACCACTGAGCTACATCCCCAGTCCTGTGTGCCTGTGTGTGTGTGTGTGTGTGTGTGTAACTTCTTGTACCACAACCCACAGTGAATCTGTCCTCTTTCTGTTTTTATTTTTTGTAGGGATGGGGAAGTATATCTTCTGTTTATGCACATGTATGTGCTTTGGAATTTTTCTTTTTTTAAAAATTAATTAATTAATTAATTTTTGGTACTGGGGAATTGAACTTGGGACCTTGCACTTTCGATGCAGGTGGCAGCACCACTGCGCTAAATCCCCAGCCCTGGAATTTTTCTTTATTAAAGAAAAGAACAGTAACAAGCGCATACCCTACAGGAGAGTCACTTAACAATGCAGGTCTTCTGTGGTTGTGCTTGCTGCTCTCTGTTGTGCTGTTGGCTCCTTGCTTTGGTGCATTTCCCTCCCTGGCCTGGTGTGTGCCCCATCTTGGAAGCCTATGCTTATCCCCCACTTGGTGAAGTTGTCTTTGCTGCTAGCAGCCAGCTGCTCTTTCCCCTTGGCTTCCCTGCCATCTGTCTCTGCCTTATTTGAACTCAGACAGAGGTGGTATCTGCCTAGCTGTGCCAGTTGCTGTTCCATGAGCCCATCTGGTCTTCTGCAAGCCAGGGCTGGCACAGGGTAGGTGCACCATAGCCCTTGGAGTTACAGTAATTACCAAGCTTTCCCCTGCCCCAGTTCTTTGTGACTCTGCAAGCCTAACATGTCTTGGTCATGGACAGCTAAAGACGTGATTAAAGAGATTGAAGACTTTGACGGCTTGGAAGCACTGCGCTTGGAGGGCAACACAGTGGGTGTGGAAGCAGCTCGGGTCATCGCCAAGGCCTTAGAGAAGAAGTCAGAGTTGAAGGTAAGATCTGCAGTGTGAGCAACTGGGGCTGCTTGTGGACCAGCTTCCCCACCCTGCTGCAGCCCTCCCAGGCCCTGCTCTGGTGACTGTCACCCACATGGCTCCTCTTCCTGTGGCCGTCTGGAGCAGCTGGGGCTCCGCCCCCTGCAGTGGGCAGACGGGAGTGGAGTTAGGAGTGCAGAGGGTTACACCCGTGATAGTGAAACTGGGGAGGGTGTTCACCCAGGACTGGTCTGCCGCCTGTGAGGAGGGAATGATGCAGAGTGAGCCACACATGCACCTCTGGCTATTAACCCTTCTGACAGACCCCGAGCAGGGCTCTGGGTAGGAGTGGCTGGGCCTGGGCTCCTACATTGCTACGGACTAGGAGGTGCTGCAGCTGGAGGCCCAGCCAGCTGTTCCTCTCAGTCAAGGCAGGTTCTTTCCTGAAGCTTAAATCCAGATGATGCCTCTTAGGCCAACACAAAGGGCGGTTCAGAATCTGTTTTCTGCAGTACTGGGGATCAAAGTAAGGGTTATATCCCCAGCCCTTTTTTGAGATAAGGTCTCAATAAGTTACTGGGGTAGAACTCCAACTTGTGATGCTTTAGTTTGGATTCTTTTATCGAGTGTTCCCAAAGTGGGTGCTACTGCATACCAGTCTGTCAGTGTGCTCTAGTGAGAAAAGTGGGAGTATCGAGTTCAGAATGGCAGGGAATGTCACTATGCTGTGTGTCGTCCCCCACATCCCAGTGAGTATTAGCATATTTAAGTTAAGAGTCCTGAGGGAGAGTCCAGACTGGAGCCATGGTCCCTAACATGTACAGGGATGAGCTTGTTCTAGGCCTTTCTCCATTTGTTATTTAATCCTCCCAATAGCCTGGGTAAAGTACTGGGTTGTGTCTTAGTTTTTTTTGTTTGTTTGTTTTTTGGGTTTTTTTTGGTACTGGGGATCAAATTCATGTCCTTGTGCTTGTGAGGCAGGCGCCAGAACCACTGAGATAAATCCCAGGCCTGTGTCTTAGTTTTATTTTATTTATTTAAATTTTTTTGGTTTTTTTGAGACAGGGTCTCACTATGTTGTTGAAACTGACCTGGAACTCACTATGTAGCCCAGGCTGGTCTTGAACTCACAGTGATCCTCCTGCCTCAGCCTCCCAAGTGCTGGGATTACAGGCATGCGCCATCACACCCACCTGCCGTGTCTTAGTTTTATACATCAAGGGAGTGGAGGCTCAAGAGGAACTGTGCTTTGGAGTCCACAGGTCTGGGTTCCAACCCTAGCACCTCCACTTTGCACTGAACGTGGCTCTGAGACTGGCTTCTGTAGGAGGTGGGGCTCTTACCCCTTAGAGGTCACCCTGAGAGAGATTGCCATACACTTTGTCACCTGATGTAGACCCAGGCCTGTCTCCAGTGCTGGAAGAAGCGGAGCCCAGGACAGATGGACACTGCCTTTGATGGCCTGCAGTGTTCAGGAAATGGGCTGATGCAGGATACAACGTTTCCTCCCCCGTGAGGTTTTGATAGTTGACAGAAGTACATCTTAGGGTCATACAGGAGGAGGAGGCTGGACAGAGTTCATGTGAGGCTGAGCTAAAAATGCTCTGTTGTCACCTTGGAGATTACCAAAGCATAAGGCCCTGTTGCACAAAAAGGGTTCCATAGGCCAGAGAAGGAAGTGACCTGGAGCCAGCTGGGTGGGGCTCAGAAGCCAGGCCTTATTTCCTGGAGCCTCAGGTCAACCCTTTGGCTCATCATACTTGAGTTATAGAGCTTTGTGGGGAGGTGGCACTTGGATTATGGCTTCCTATCCCTTGCCCTAAAGACCTGCATCATCGTAATTCCCTAAGCAGGCCTGGATACACTAGACATCCAGCTGGGACCCTAGGGTGTAGGTCAGTGGCTTTATGGGAAGATAGAAGCTTTTTTTTTTTTTTTTTTTGGTGCTGGGGATTGAACTCGGGTCCTTGAGCTTGCAAGGCAGGCCACCGAACCACTGAGCTAAATTCCCATCCTGATATAAGCATTTTTCTACAAAAACCAACTTCCCTAGTATGGAAGGTTAGACATAGCTGGTCTAATTTTTTTTTCCTGGTGCTGGGGAATGAACTCTGGACCTTTTGCTTGCCAGGCAGGTGTGGTGCCTCTGAGCTACAACCTGGGCCCATACCTGGTGTAATTTAAGGTCTGCATCTTTAGGGGAAATTGGCTTTCCCTGTGTCCTGTCAGCTCCGTACATGGCCCAGTGATGGCTGCAGTTGCGGAGGTTTTAGTTTTGGTAATAGACACAGCAATCAGGATTGGGAATAGGACTGTCACAATAAAGTTATGTGGATACCACCTTTGTGACACTTACCTAATACTTTTTACTAACTTAACTAAGTTGTACATAATTTCAGAACATTACTCTTTTTTTTGGTACCAGGGATCGAACTTGCGACCTTGTACTTGCAAGGCGGGCGGCAGCACCACTGAGCTAAATCCCCGGCCCAGAACATTACTTCTATAGGTAGAAAACCAGAATGCATTACGGTAAAAGAAATACCCAAAGGCTCCAGCCTGAGCCCGCTTTCTCTTTGTTAGAAAGGCAAGAAGTAGGAAGTGGACCCAGCCCCCATGGAGCAATCCATTGGAAGTGGTAAGACGGGAGGGAAAAAGGAACTTCCTTGATGCTGTGACCTGTGTGGTTTACTTTCTTGTTCCTCTGTCACCTGGAACCATGTCATGTGTCCAGTGAGAGGGCTGGACTTGTTAAAAAAGTTCCTTCTGCTTCTGCTGAGCCCCTCACAGCCCTTAGGGGCCACATTAACTGAGGCCAGGCCTCCGGGTATCACTGTCTTCAGTCAAAACTGGTCCAGCCTTTTGCAGGCAAAGCCCAGATTAAGAAGTCTTGTAGCCAGGCTTGGTAGCACATGCCTGCCATCCTAGCTTCTCTGGAGGCTGAGGCAGAAGGATTATGAATTTGAGACTACCCTGGGCAACATAGCTAGATCCTATTTCCAAAAAAGTGTGGGGTGAAGCCAGGCATATTGTTGCACATCTTGATTCCCAACACTCCAGGAGGCTGAGTAAGGAGGATCGCAAGTTTGAGCCCAGCCTGGGCAATTTAGTGACTTCGTGAGACCATCTCCAAAAATGGTGGGACTGTGAGGGCCCTGGGTTCAATTCCGAGTACTGCAAAAAACAAAACAAAAACGGGGTGAGAGTTGGGGGATAGCTCAGTGATAGAGCACTTGCCTAGTGAGTGCAAGGCCCTGTGTTCTATCCCAAATAGCGCCAAAAAAAAAAAAGAAAAGAAAAACTTGTAATGCTCAGGTCACCCCGGCCCACAGAGTGAAGGATGCTCATGGCTAGTGTTCTATCAAATAGCGCCAAAAAAAAAAAAAGAAAAGAAAATCTTGTAATGCTCAGGTCACCCCGGCCCACAGAGTGAAGGATGCTCATGGCTTCACATTAGGCTCCTGACAGTCTCTGGCTAAGTGTTTGCTTTTTCTCCTGCACAGCGATGCCACTGGAGCGACATGTTCACGGGGCGCCTGCGGTCTGAGATCCCTCCGGCACTGGTAAGGCTAGGGAGTGCGCTGGACATCCCCTGGCATGGGGGACCCTGTGGCTGTTTCCTGACTTTTTCTCACATTCTTCCTTGTGGAGCTGAAGATAAACCTCACAGGTGACCGAGTGCTGAAGCAGAGCCTGGGTCCTGACAGGAAAGGGTGGGACACAGCAGGACAAGGCTTGCCTGGCCTTGGATTGGAGGGGGACAGATGTGTCTTCTCGGGGGGATGGGCCCAGCAGTGGTCAGCTGCCGCCCTGAGCCTGCCGTGGCATCCTCAGCCTGCTATTCTTGTAGCCCACACGGGGACTCCAGAGATGCCTTGCACCCCTGTCCTTTCTGAAGAGCCTCCTTCCAGAGCCCCCTGGGGTCCTGGACAGGGGACAGATGCTTTAATGGCACGGAAGGGGGCCTCTGAGGAAGTGGCCTTTGAGGAAGCTCCTGGAGAGTTGATGGGGTTGGTGCTCAGCCTCGGGGGATGAGCAGGACCAGGTGGGGCTGGGATTCAGAACTCTGGTCAGCTGAATTCATGTGGGTATCTGATAGGAAGGTAAAAAGGAAGCTTGGGGAAACTTCCCTCTGGCGTAATTGCCCTGCCTGAGGTTTTCTTTGAGTTTTCCCACCAGTGAGGACAAGGAGGCTCAGGGAGGGAGAGAAAGGGTTGCGGCAGGGAGTGGCACAGTTGCAGGCAGGAACACCGCAGAGTGAGCGTCTGTGGCCACCTGTGGGTGGAGGTCATGGGGCCGGGCCTTAGGAGAGCAGGGTGGGAAAATGAGTGCTGAAGAGCAGAAGGACCCTGGAACCCAGCTCAGCCGCCACCTCCGTGACCCGGCGAGGGCAGAATGTTCCTCCTGCCCTGCCCCCGTGAGCCACCTTCCAAGCCCCATTTTTGCCCTCCCCACTCTCGTCCCTCTCTGTCAGACCCTCCTCTCCTCTGACTATTTTGGGGGCCTGTAGGTATCCCCAGTCCTACAGGTTCCCAGAGAACTCTGCCTCCAGTCTAGCTCCTGCCACCCCTGTCTGCCATACCCCAAAACCCTGGAGGCATTTGTGGGACCTCCCTGTCTCCTGCCATGCCTAGGGAATCCCTAGCTTCACAGGGTCCCCTTCCTCCCCTTACTTCCGGCCACACCAGCTGGCCTCCGCCGTCACCCACGTTCCTGCATCGGCTCCCAGGTAGGCACATGGCCTCTGCTGCCCGCTGCTGTCCCTCATTTCCTCCTCTGTCCCCCATGACCACAGAGTCTGTCCCCTCAGGCCAGATTGAAGTGCCTTGGTTTAAGCCCTCCACTTCCTCCTCGGCGTCTGGCTGCTGCTTCCCACTCGTCAACACCTGTGTTTTTTGCTGCCTTCTCATTGGCTACTGTCATCCGGACTGAGCTCATCCGCCACCTCCTACAAGGAGCCCTCCCAGGATTCCCTCCTGCCCAGGTCCCATGTACTAGTTAGGAGCCCTCTGTGGGGTTGCCAGTGTGGACATGGAATAGGAAGCTCAGTGCCAGGAAGGCACATGTTGGTGGCCTGCGTGTCCACTGAGGGCAGGGCTGGCCCTGGCACAGGAGCAGCAGCTGGCAGATGTCTGGAAAACTGACCTGAGCTCCCTCTCTGCCCAGATCTCACTAGGGGAGGGACTCATCACTGCTGGGGCCCAGCTGGTGGAGCTGGACCTAAGTGACAACGCATTTGGGCCTGATGGCGTCCGTGGATTTGAGACTCTGCTCAAGAGCCCAGCATGCTTCACCCTGCAGGAGCTCAAGCTCAACAACTGTGGCATGGGCATTGGTGGCGGCAAGGTGGGTTTGGAGTCCATGTAGTCCCCGCTGCATCCACATGCAGCAGAGTGTGCTCTAGCTCCTGGACGCCACTCTCTGGGGCTCTTGTTGCCTTTTCATTTCAAAGGAGAAAGGTCTCAAAGGCAGCAGCCTCTGGCCAGTGGGGAGAGGAGTCTAGGAGGGTACCCGAGTTCTCGTGTTGCTTGGCAACACTGAGGCAGTGATACTGTGTAACCTGCTCGGATCTGCTGGCTCTGCAAAATGGAGGCTTGGAGCATTCTTGCCCGTACTGCCACTTAGAACAGCTGGCAGAGCCAGGGCGAGGAAGGAACCTAGAAAGAGAAACGTGCTGCTCCAGAAGGGCAGTCTCACCTTGATTCCTGGGCAGAGCCTTGGTATCACCCCTTGGATTCCAGAAATCCAGGCTGGTCAGTGGTGCAGAGGAGCTTGTTTGCTTCCCAAACATGTGTTGAGAGGGTTGGTCTCTTTAGTCCCTGTTTGTCCACCCGGGCTCCTTCAGGAGGTCAGAGCTGAGAACTGAGTTCATTAGTCCCCTCCCTCACGTACATTCTGACTAAAGGGAAAGTTTGGGGACACAGGGAACCAACAGGGATTGGGGACCTATTTGTGCAGATGTTTACCTGCCTCACATGAACAGTAAGTTGTCTGTCCCCATTTTCTCACATGAATAAACTCAGGCTTGGAGAAGTGGGGATGTGGGTCACAGCTAGTGTGTAGGGGACGGAATTTGAAACTTCATCCACACAGCTCCATTCAGAGCCAGAGAAACTGAGGCAAGGCTCACCATGTCCCCAGGCTGAGGAGCCGGTGTAGCCACCCCCACAGAAAGTGCCTGCTGCCCTGCATGTGTCTCTGTCTGTCCCACATGCCCTCCCCTGTGTAGATGGGCAGTAAGCTGCCTATGTGCTACGATGAGAGAATGTTTGCATCCCCATGGAGCAGGTGCGCCCAACCCAGAGTGAGGGGTGTCACCTGAGCTGGCCACACAGCAGTGCCAGGAAACTGAGGCTCCTGGAGAGCCCCACTGGCCTGTGCCTGTCTGGCCTACATCATACTCTCAGTAGGTGGGGTGATGTTGGGAAGCAGAGTTTTGAACCCTTGCCCAAGGAAGGAGCTTCTCGATGGACCAGCTCTGCTCTCCGATTTGACTGGGACCGTAGCCCTTCCTCATCCATGAGGCTGCGTTCCAAGGCCACCCTTGGTGCCTGAACTCCTGGAAAGTCCCAAGCCCTAAATGTACTGCTTTTCCCTATATGTCAGTGCTAAAATTTAATTTACAAGTTAGGCATAGTGAGAGATTAACAGAAATACAACAAGTATATCAACATACTATAGGAAAAGTTGTGCGAATATGGTCTCAGAATGTCTTAGTGTACTATAGATCTTAGCAACCTTAGCAGATGATTGTTTCTTTCTCTCTCTCTCTCTCTCTCTCTCTCTTTTCTTGGTTTTTTTGAGACAGGGTCTCACTATGTAGTCGAGACTGACTTGGAACTCACTATGTAGCCCCAGGCTGGTCTCGAACTCACAGCGATCCTCCTGCCTCAGACTCCCGAGTGCTGGGATTACAGGCATGCGCCACCACACCTGGCTCTGTTTTTCTCTTTTAGTTGAGTGCTCTCAGCTTTTCACTTACAGGGACAGTTTTCAGCTTTGGTTTGGCCCATCCTTAATTGCCAGCAGCACTCCTTTTGGGCTTTTTTGTTTGTTTTTTGGTACCGGGGATTGAACTCGGGTCCTTGCACTTATAACACAGGCATGCCACCACACCTGGCTCTGTTTTTCTCTTTTAGTTGAGTGCTCTCAGCTTTTCACTTACAGGGACAGTTTTCAGCTTTGGTTTGGCCCATCCTTAATTGCCAGCAGCACTCCTTTTGGGCTTTTTTGTTTGTTTTTTGGTACCGGGGATTGAACTCGGGTCCTTGCACTTATAAGGCAGGCCACCGAACTGCTGAGCTAAATCCCCGGCCCCTTGTTTGTTTTTTAAACTCACTGTGTAGCCCAGGCTGGCTGCAACTCGTGGAGATCCTCCCGTCTCAGCTTCCCAGGTACCGGTATAATGGAATTAGAGGTGTAATGGGCTTTGAGGCCATTATGTAAAACAAAGGCCACTTGAACAAAAGTGCTGTGATATACAACAATTGATCTGGTCATGAAGTAGTTACCAAGTGATATACTAAAGGGATTAACGAGCAGGAAGTATCTACCAGGTGGATACTCTGGACTTGACAGGACTGTGTGAGATTTCATTACATGGCTCAGAACTGTGCACTTTCAAACACGAATTATTTATTTAAGTATTTTTGTGTCAGGGTCCCACTATATAGTTCAGGCTGGCCTCAAACTCATAGCAATCGCCCTGCCTTCTCCTGAGTGCTGGGATTCCAGGAGGTGTGGTCTACCATGTCCAGCTACTGATCAGCGTTTGTACTTTGTCTCTTAGTATAACCAGGGTAGAAGCTACCTCCTGACCGCATATTAAAAACATGGCAAGCTGAGGTTTGCACCTCAGCAAGTGTCACTGCTATGTCTGGCTGGATCGTGGTCCCAACCTGCTGGTTCCCTCAGGCACCATCAAGGTCTGGGCTCTGGTTCCAAAGTCTGTCACTTGCTTACTGACCACAGACAGTTTCTGAGCTTGGCAAAGTGGCATGCACCTGTAGTCCCAGCTGCTGAGGCCAGAAGATCCCTTGAGTCCAGGAGATTGAGCCCAGCCTTGAGGGGTGACTGTGTTTCAGTGGGTCTGTTCCTGCCACTGCTGCTGGAGGTGTGACACACTGCAGAGCAGGTTCATAAGCATTCCGGAGAAGGGCTGCAGGCTGGGCCAGCATCTCACCTTTCCCCATAGATCCTGGCCGCAGCTCTGACCGAGTGTCACCGCAAGTCCAGCGCCCAAGGCAAGCCACTAGCCTTGAAGGTCTTTGTGGCTGGCAGGAACCGGCTGGAGAACGACGGAGCCACTGCTTTGGCAGAAGCTTTTGGAGTGAGTGTTTTCTTCCCATCCTGGCTCACTGGGCACCAAATCGAGCGGGGTGGTGAGGGGGTAGGGAGTCCTGGTACCCTGTCCCACAGTGGGCCACTTCCTACCCTGTCCCAAAAGGTCCCTAGTCTGCCACGTCAGTGGGTCAGCTGAAGCTCCAAGCACAGAAGATTGACCTTGGGTAGGGTGGGCCACCTGGTCTGAGAGGTGCCTTCCTCAGCAGCAGCAGGGCAGTGGGAGCTGCACACACTTGCCCGAGATGGGGACAGAAGAGAGGCAGGAGCAGCCAGGTGGCCTTCTCCCCAACCTCTTCCCTTTCCTCTTCTTCGCAGGGCCCTGAATTGAGGCCTTGGCAGTGAACTCCGTGCAGGACCACACTTGCCTCCCACAGGAGTGGGAACCTTGGGTCTTTCCCCTTCTCATCTACTTTTTAATTTTTTGTGGTACTGAGATTTGAACCCAGGACCTCATGCATGCATGCATGTTCCCCTCCACTCTTCATGTAAATGTTTTCTAGGGTGGTGGTGTGCTGCAGCAGTAGCCACACCCAGGCCAAGCAGTGTCCCACAGGCCTGCCGCTTTAGTGGGCTGTCTGCAGGGATGCATCTAAAGACACCTCACCTGCCTGTGTTTCCCTGGGCCCCTCAGGAGGTGCCTGCCTCTTCTGGAGCTGGTGGGGAACTGGCTGCCGCCCATGAATGTGCCCTTCCATTGGCCTCTGGTGTGCTTAGAATGGGGTTCTTAACCCAGTGTAGGGAGGAGAGTTGAGGGGTTCTTTGTAGAGGGAGAGAATAACATCATTGCTGTCTCAACACAGCTAAACACTCTAGTTGACCTGTGAACAGTGTGCCAACCCCCCCAGTCAGGAGCCCACAGAGCTCCGCACATGCTAGGCAAGTGCTCTACCACTGAGCTACATCCCCAGCTCCTGAGTGTGATGTTGGACTCCCAAATACTCTGTTAATAGCTTGTGGTTACCCATAACATCAACAGCTAATTAACCCACATCTTGTGTGTTTTGTTTCAAGGAGTATATTTTGGGGCAGGGGATTGAACCCAGGGCCTTGTGCATGCTAAACATGCGCTTCACCACCAAGCCGCACCCACGCCCCACAGTGTGTGTGTTATGTATCACACATGGTGGAAAACCAAAGAGGACCAAGAGGAATCATTTTTTACCTTGATGTGCAGTTTGTGGGTGACACAGACCACCCAAGAGGTCATCAGTGTCATGTGGATCACATGGCATTTTACAAAGACATTCCTAACATTTGAATTCACTGCAACAAATGTTGGCTACAAAATTATTTGTGGTGTGGTGAATTCTAGCAGTTACAGTGTAACACTGCACTTTTTTGTGGTACAGAAGATCGAATCCAAGGGTGCTGAATCACTAAGCTAACACCTCTCAGCCCTTTTTTTTAGAATTTTGAAACAGGGTCTTGCTAAGCTGCCCCAGATGACCTCAGATTCGTGCAGTAGTGTGGACCTATAGTCCCAGCCACGTGGGAGACTGAGCTGGGAAGGTCACTTGATCCCATGGGTTTGAGACTGGCCTGGGCAACAGAGTGACATTCTGTCTCTGAAATTAGAGAAAAAGAAAGAAATTTGTTTATTACCGTATAAAGGTTGGTATAGGGCTGGGGATTTAGTTCAGTGGCTCTGCCCCCTGCCTCGCAAGTGCAAGGTCCTGAGTTCAATCCCCTGGAACGCCCCTGCCAAAAAAGGTCATGTAATAGTAAACTTACTCTCAGATTTTGTTATTCATAAGTACCGTAGACAAGGCATTGTCGTTCACTCTTATAATCTTAGCACTCTGGTAGGCTGAGGCAGGAAGATCACAAGTTTAAACCCATCCTGGGCAACGTATTGCTTTAGTGAGATCCTGTTCCAAAGTAGAAAATAAAAAGGGCTGGGGGTCAGGGGGCTGGGGATTTGGCTCAGTGGTTCTGCCTCCTGCCTTACAAGCATAAGGACCCGAGTTCGATCCCTGGTACAAAAAAAAAAAGGCTGGGAATGTAGCTCAATACCAAGGCCTTAGTATAATCCTTAGTCTTAGTATAAAGAAAAAAAGTACCTATGTTACTATAACATAAATTCATGTTTTTGTTTTCTCTTTTTGAGAAAGGGTTTCACTATATATCCCAGGCTGGCCTTGAACTCAAAACAATCCTCTTGCTTCAGCCTTCCACGTACTGGGATTACAGGTGTATTCCACCATACCTGGGCTGCATTTTGATTTTTTGGTGTGTGTTTTGATAACTTTCAGTTCAGTGGACTTCCTTTGTAATTCTGTATCATTTTTATCGAAATTTAAAATCATTTTTCTGGGATTTAGATAAGTGGTGGTGCTGCTGCCTGCCTCACAAATGCAAGGACCTGAATTCGATCCCTGGTACCAGGAAAAAAATAAAGTAAAAACATTTTTCTGAGGAGGGACCCAGGGGCTTCCCTAGCTGTCTGATGAGTACGCAGCACAGGAAATGTTAAGCAGCCTGGTTTGTGCTGTGCCTCAGTTGGCATGCCTGGATTTGTCTGTGACTCCTCCCACATTGTGCCAAGCATCCAGGGACAGTTGTCCCAGACCTGTCCTCTACCCCTATGGCAGTGGAGGCAGGCGTGTCCCCCTCCATGAGAGCTCTGAGCTGAGGGCAGATGAGAACGGAGCTTTGATCTCCAGCAGGAGGAGCAGGACACCACGGAAGGAAGCCTCCCTGGGGGAGATGGATCCAAAATGAGAACTTCGGGTTGCACAGAAAGCAGCCTCCACGCAGCTGCCAACACATGAGAGACAGGGATGGTGCCGTGGGCGAGCGAGGTGTCCAGAGGCTGGGGTGGAGGAGGGCTGAGTGAGTCAGGGAGCCCTCCTTTCCCCCACAGGGACAAGGCTCGTGGACCATGGTGTGGCATAGCCAGGGGAGGATGGCTCTGGAGGAGGCCAGGTGGAGCTGCACTGTCTGGAGCACTGGATCACTGACTGGTGATCCGCAGAGCCCTGGGTCCCCATAGCGCAGAGGACACCAGACTGGGGAATCCATGTCTCGGTCCCAGGCCTCATGCCCCAGAGCCTCTCTGCTTCCCAGTCCTCTGTCTGCAGGTTCCTGAGCCAGTAGGTCAACTTCAGGGGGCTGAGGTGGATTGGGCACAGCCATGCCAGAAGGGTACTTTGGGGTCTGTGTCCCAAGCCCACACCCGAGCCCTTGCTGGGTGTCAATGGCCCAGGGCCCACTCTGCGCTGTCCTCCTGTCCTCACAGATCGTTGGGACCCTGAGGGAGGTCCACATGCCACAGAACGGGATCAACCACCCTGGCGTCATGGCCCTGGCCCAGGCCTTTGCTATCAACCCTCTGCTACGGGTCATCAACCTCAACGACAACACCTTCACTGAGAAGGGCGCAGTGGCCATGGCCGAGGTAGGCTGGCTTCTGCCCCACTTCCCTGTCGTGTGCACCCCGTGGGCCCAGCTCACTTGAACACCTTTGGAACAGGGCCGTGAATCACAAGCTGTTGCCATGGTCCCTGAGTCCTGAACATCCTCCCTGCTGCCTCCCCAGTTGGGGCTGGTTTTGCTCTCAGGCCAAGGGAGACAAGGCTGCCCGCCCTGTCTCTTCCCAACTGACTCCTCCGCTGGCTGTTTATTGAGCCCCTGCATGGTGCCTGGGTTGTAGGCCCCGTGGGTCCCTCCTTAAAGAGGGAAGGGAGCCACCAGGCAGCATGAGACAGGGCTCTGGGTAGCAAGGATCCTGCCAGGAGCTCGCCTTCTGGCTAGGTTCGGGACAAGTGAACAGCAAGTGGGATGTTTTGGGCAGAGGGATCACAGGTGTGGAGGCTCCCTGGGTCCTGCTTTGAAATGATGCACAGTTGCAGGAGGGGGAAGGAAGACCTCGTAGCCTTTGCTGGTTCTGGGAAACTGTGTTATAAGGAATAGGGAGCCATGAGAGTTGTAGGGTGATGTGCTGTATTAGACTTGTACTTCAGGCATTCTGACTATAACATGGGCGGTAGGCTGGCGTGGCCCTGAGAGGAGCAGAGATGTGGAGGGCCGGACCAGGACACAAGAGCATAGTGTGAGCGCTGAGCAGGGTGTGTCCTGTGCCCTCCTGCTGGACCTTGTCGTCTTATTGCAGACCCTGAAGACCTTGCGGCAGGTGGAAGTGATCAACTTTGGGGACTGCCTGGTGCGCTCCAAGGGTGCTGTAGCCATTGCAGATGCCATGCGTGGGGCTCTGCCCAAGCTCAAGGTGCCGCTGGGCTCTGGGCCCTGGGCCACTCATGGGGGTAGGGGAGCAGCCCCTCTGTATCTATGATGTCACACCGCCTATGCCACCTGTCTGAGCCACGGTGTCTTCTCCGTGAGGGAGCAGTGCAGTGTCAGCAGATCTGGCTGTGGCTGGGCACCGGTGTCATGTCATTACACGTGTTTGGCTTCCCACCCCTGTGCCTCTTGGGGAGCAGGAGCTGGGCCCCTGGTAGCTGCCTGCTTCTACTTTCCTCTTCTCCTAGGAGCTAAACCTGTCATTCTGTGAAATCAAGCGAGATGCTGCCCTGGCTGTGGCGGAGGCTGTGGCTGACAAAGCTGACCTGGAGAAGCTGGATCTCAATGGTAATAGGGGCCTCAGGGCCCTCAGCACAGCCCTGCCGACCGACCGCCGTGTGCCTTTCTCACCTCAGTTTCCCTCTGAGCAGGCAATGCGCTGGGAGAGGAGGGTTGTGAGCAGCTCCAGGAGGTGCTAGACAGCTTCAACATGGCCAAGGTGCTGGCATCCCTCAGGTAGGAGCATGGGCAGGTGGCCCACGCACCTTCACTTTTTCCTCTTTGTGCTTACCCAGAAAGTGTTGGCTGAGCACCTAGTGTGTGCCAGGCTCTGTGCTGGGTGCCAGGGAGAAAGGGTGAGACACCAAGGTTTCTGACTGGCAGAAACAAGGCAGGGTGTTGTCTGTTCCATTGAGCGTGGCACCCTCTGGAGGTGGGAGTCCGGAGGCCTCTGGAGCTGATGTGGATCTGACTCTGATGTGGCAGAATAGCAAATATGGTGGACAGAGGCCCTGGGGCACCTCAAGGGGACAGGCACAATAGTATTCCTGACACTGACTAGAAGGGAGGCAGTTGGCACAGGGAAGTCAAAGGTGATGGCACATACCTGTAGTCTTAGTACTCTAGGAGGCTGAGGCAGGAGAATTGTGAGTTCTATTCCAGCCAGGACAATTTATCGAGAGCCTATTTCAAAAAATTAAACAGGCAAGGTCCTGAGTTTGATCCCTGGTACAAAACAAAACAAAAACAAAAAACAGGGCTGGGATGTAGCTCAGTACAAAGGCCCTGGGTTTAACCCTCAGTACTACAGGGAGGGTAGGGATTCCAGTATTTGATGAGCCCATTGCAGAGGAGAGAATGGGTGAGTATCAGGGAGCACCCACCTGCAGGTTCACAGGCAGTTTGTGTCACTTGTCTCCAGGCCACATCAGTTCCAAGTGGCACAGCAGATGGTTACATGTCCTCAGGGCTGCTGCAGAGGCTTGGGTCCGAGGGAACTGACATGGCCCCTTCAGCGGCAGGGGCATCTCATGGGCCTCTCCCATGAGGTGTGAGTGGCACTGCCCTGGACAAGGTCCCCATAAACCTTGATGGTCTCCTTCCTGTTTCCTGCCTCTGTGTAGGACTGGGGTGGGAATGGGTCCCTTAGGAATAAGACAAGATCTGCAGCACGGTCTCCCTGGGGGGTAAAAAAATGAAGGACATGTTCCCTGGTAATACCTGTCCTTCCTGGGAGCAGGGGCGATCTGGTCTCCCCTCATAGAGCCAGGCCTCTGAGCCAGGGTGGGCTGAGGGAAGGGAGGCTCTGCCTTAGCCAACTCCTCTCTGCAGTGATGATGAGGGTGAAGATGAGGAGGATGAGGATGAAGAGGAAGAAGAGGAGGAGGAGGAAGAGGAGGAGGAAGAGGAGGAGGAAGAGGAGGAGGAAGAGGAGGAAGAGGAGGAACCACAGCAAAGACAAGGGGAGGAACCAGCCACGCCCTCGAGGAAGATTCTGAACTCCAGCACGGGGGTACCTTCCTGTCATTGCTAGGGTCAGGGCTCTGATCACCTGAAATCCTGGAAGATGCAGCCACAACTACTTTTTGGGGTTTTTGGGTCTGTTTCAGGGTGGGCTTGAGCTCACTGTGTAGCCCAGGCTGGCCTCATGCTCCTGAGTAGTAGGGATTACAGGCATATGCCGCTGTACCTGGCCCTGCACACTATTTTTATATTAATGTAGGTATAGAAACTGATGTTTTTTTTCACCCATCAGTGAATTATCCTGGTGACCTTCAGGGACAGCCTTGTGCTCTGGAAATTGTGGCTGGAACTGTGGCACATACTTGGTGTCCCCTGCTGGGCCCTGGTGGCCTGGGATTGCCACCCCTAATCCATTCATTCATGTCCCCTCAGAATTCACAAATGAGTAGGACCCTGTCGTACCGGGTGCTTTCCGGGGATCTGGAAGCAGTGTGGTAACAGTGGTCTCAGGTGGCCACAGCCTGACCCAGGCTGGATTCCAGTTCCAGGTAGCCTCTCCCCGGTCATTTCTGGGCCTTGCACAGCCTGGTGAGGATCCATGTGGAGGCTGAGTGGGGGAACAGTTCCAGACCTTGGCCTAGGTCTGGCTAAAGTAAGGGGTGGGTGTCCCGGAGCAGCAACAGACAGCAGGGTCTGAGGTTTGGAATCTGTGATCGCCTCCCATCCGTGTCCCATTTCAGGAGCTGGCCCCATCGCTGTCCTCCGCACAACCCACCGACATCTCTACCTTCCTGGCCTTCCCATCCCCCGAGAAGCTGCTGCACCTTGGGCCCAAGAGCTCAGTGCTGATAGCTCAGCAGGTGAGACAGCTTGCTAGAGGCGGGGACAGCAGAGCACGGGAAGAAGCGGGGGTCACTGTCAGCTGGCGACCGGGCCTTCGCTGTTCTTTTCATATTGTTAAATGCAGACACACATACGTGAAAGTGCAGGATACGTGTGACACTGCAGTCCTCTGCCTGCAGTAAGGGCGGCCTGCCCACTCCAGCCTTACCACCGGGAACTTCGTTCCCAGGCCCTTTGGTGTGTTCCCAGGCTGCTGCGTGGTCAGTGGTTTCTGCCAGGCCCTGTGTGTACCCATGGGAGGCCACCCTTGCCCTAGCCTCACTTATTTGCTAGTTGGTTTTGGCTTCATTCATTCATTCAGAAGTGATTATTGAGCACCCGTTTGTGCCAGTCACTGTATGGTTTGAATTTATTCATCCACTTGTGGTACTAGGGATTGAACCTAGGCCTTCACACTGAGCGACATCTTAGCCCTTTTTAAAAATTCTTCACATTTTGAGACAAGGTCTCACTAAGTTTCCCAGGCTGGGCTGGAACTTCCATTCCTCCTGCCTCAGCCTTCCAGAGTGTGTGTACAACCACGCTCAGCTAATACAAACTTTTTGTGTCCTAGCATTTTCATACCACACCATTCTACATTTTCCCCTGTGGGTAGAACTATTTTTGGGGGGAGTGAGTAGAACTCTTCTCATGCCTTTTTATTTCAATGAGTAGATCTGTCACTTCAAAGCATGCCATTCCTCCTGGCTGTTTCTGATTTTTCCCACTTGTTCCCTTTGTTACAGAAGTAGAAGTAGCTTTGGCTTCCTTGCATGTGAACAATATCTGCGTTCTGTGTGATTTCTTCAGGTTAGGTGACCAGACAGGCACCTGGGGTTCATGATACTTAATGCTGCTCCATGCACCCACTCGTTCTCAGCTCCCCAGGTGCCGTGGGCCAGATGTGAGCCAGCTGGAGGGACAGCCTACGTCTTGCCCACCAGGGTCCCCAGATTTCCAGCCCGCTCTGGTCAGATGCATATTCACCATATGCCAGAGTGCTGGGATCTGGCTTCAGTGACCTGCCGTTGGTTGTTGATTTCTCAGACTGACACATCCGACCCAGAGAAGGTGGTCTCAGCCTTCCTGAAGGTGTCGTCAGTGTTCAAGGACGAAGCCACAGTGAGGACTGCAGTGCAGGATGCAGTAGGTAATGTGGACTGGGGCTGGAGACATCCCCGCTAGTGACACTGATTCAGGGTGTCCCTCACCTCTCTGCTGACAGAGTCCCTAACCCATTCTGTCGGTTTCTTGCCACGGTCTTTATGGGGAACAGGCTCAGCACTCGCCAGTATTTGCAGCTGGGGAAATTGAGGCCTTCCGCAAAGCCATGTGGCTGCGCCAGGCCCTGCCTACCTAGGAGGCTGGAAAGTCATATCCCCAGGGCCCCGTAGACACTCTGTCTGGGTGAGGAGGGCAGCTCCCTCATTCCCACCTGCAAGCCTCTTCCCACATGGGCCCAGCACAGAGGAGCCCAACACCTGTCTCCTTCCGCCTTGTCACCATTGGTCTTAGCCTCCAGGGTGGGCAGATTTGGCCTAGAGCGGAGGAAGGGCCCTATGAATGCAGGCATCAAGAGGGCCAATGAGAGGAGGTGTGACGCGTGGTCTTCTCCTCACATTCATCTTGGGCTCCAAGGGTGGCAGGGATGGCTTCAGTGGGAACTCAGGCTGAGCATGTGGGGGAAAATGAGGCCTGCATTGTTCCCCAGAATAACTCTGCTGTCCCTAATGGTCTCCTTCCTCCCTCAGTCTGCCACACTGTGTGAGGTGGCACAGGGGTGTGGTCCCCACACTATTTCACATTTGAGGCCAGGATGGGGCAGGAGCTACAGCAGGAGGATTAAGCCACACTCTGGTGCCGGTTGCCCCTCAGCCTGGTGCTTTGTGTGTCTGTCATCTCTCCCTTTGTCCCTGTTTGGAGCAACTGTTTGTTTTTTGTGGGGGTTTGTTTTTTTTTTGGTACTGGGGATCGGACTTTGGATCCTTGCCCTTGCAAGGCAGGTGGTGGAACCACTGAGCTAAATCCCTGGCCTTTTGTCTCTGTTTGGATGGGGCAAGGAGGCAGGGCCCGGCCTGTGTGCCCAAGGGGCTCTGGGAACCTCTGAGCCTGTGCCAGCTTCTCCTGCCTCTCACCCTGCCACACTCTGCTCGTGCCCGCAGATGCGCTCATGAGGAAGGCCTTCAGTTCCTCAGCCTTCAATGCCAACGCCTTCGTCACCGGGCTGCTGGTTCACATGGGCCTGCTCAAGGTGAGGCCTGCATGTCCCTGGGGCCGGGCTTCCCCGTGGGACCTCCACTGGCGCTTGGCCACAGGGCTGAGCTGTCCACATGGTGGGGAGTAAGGGCACCTGGCCTTCCCACACCTTCTCTCTTCCCCTCAGAGTGAAGATAAGATCAAGGCTGTCACCAACCTCTACGGCCCCTTGATGGCGCTGAACCACATGGTGCAGCAGGACTACTTCCCTAAGGCTCTTGCACCCCTGCTGCTGGCCTTCATCACCAAGTGAGTGTGGCCCTGTCATACCCTCTGTTTGCTGGGCTCCAAGGGTCCCCTCCAGGCTGCTGGGCGTGCAAAGGTGGAGGGGCTTGTGTCTCCCTTGCAGAGTCCTAGTGAAAATAGGAGCAGTTGAGTCCCCTGTTTGGGTGACAGATGCCACTGACCAACCCACCCACCCTACTTTTCCCTGTAGGCCCAATGGTGCCCTGGAGTCCTGCTCCCTTGCCCGCCACAGCCTGCTGCAGACACTCTACAAGGTGTAGCCTCCAGGCCACCTCTTCTGTCCCTCAACCTGCACCACAGATGAGGGACCTGGAGAAACTGAGCTACTGCCTGCGAGTCCCTAGGACAGGACTAACCAGAGGCAGGGAGGGTCTTTGTTTCATGTCGTGTCAGGGCCCAGTGTGTATGTCGGTGTGGTGTGTTTGCCTCCTGTGTTCAGATTGGGGTTTTTCATGTCTCTCTGGCCCTGGTCTCTTGTGGGGCATTGGCCCTGGAACAGGCTGCAGGTTTGCTTTGCCATTAAACTCACCACCATCTGAGGACATTCTGCACTCTGTGCCGCAGCTGTCCCGCCTGCCCTGCTGTCCTGCCACCTCCTGGGCTGTGCTGAAGCCTGGGCTGTTGCTGTCCGTGTGTTCTGCTGTCTCTATGTTACGTTGTGATGTCTTCTACCTGGCCTGGTCCTGCAGTGATTGCTGTCCCCGCTGTTTAATCCTGTTGTGCGCACCTCAAGGCCTAAGAAGCAGAGGCTCAGGGTGGAGTTGTCACAGAGGGCAGGACCCCAGCCCCTGCTCATGTGGACCAGAAGAGACACCAGGGGCACCACCAGGTGGTCCAGGAGGAGCAGGACCTGGGGCTGTGCTGGCTCCTGCGGCCAGTGAGGGCCAAGCCAGAGGGGCGGGCACTGTGCCAGGCCCAGACCTGTTCTGCACAGGAAGGTGGAGCCGGTGCTCTGATGCCTGGGCTGCATCTGGGGTGCTCTTAATCCCCTGGGGCAGGGAGGGTGGGGTGGGGCTGGACACCCCCGTGACTGCCTCATGCTTCCCGTGTGCTCTCTGTGTCTGGGCTGTGCCTGGCAGCTTCACAAATAAAGTCAGCTATGACGGCTGGGGCGACCACGAAGCTTCTCTCTCACCCAAGTAGGGTATGGTCCGTGCGGTATAAGTGGGCCCCACCTGGGTCCTACAGGAGGCTGCTGTCACCCAGGCAGTGAAGTGCAGAGCTGAGCCTATCCTAACTGTGGCCTGCACTCGGGCTGCAGCTCCTCGGCCCCATGTTCCTCACTGGGCCCTGTTCTGAACTGTGTTTCCTGAGCTGCCTTTGGGGAGCTCCATCGTTAGGTTCTGGCCCAGAAGCCAGCAGTGGTAGCCTGTGTGTGGACGGGGCAGGGAGTAAGGGAAACCAGAGTACTGAGAACTGGGGAACCTGGAGAGCCATTCGCTGAGGTTCGGCCAGGGCATCCACAGGATGGTATGGTGCCCTCTGGGCTGACATCCTTCACATGAGACCACGTGGGGTTGAAGGGAGAACAGAGCTCTCGTGCCACTCCCACAGGCCCTCAGTGCCCAGCTCCTTGCACCCCCAACAGAGAACATGGTCTCCGGAGTACAGGCTGCTAATTCTCCTGGCCCCTCTCAATCAGCCTTGAGTGGTTGGCCAGGGTGCGGAGGGCAGCTGTGACTGCTGCTTGCTGAGGTCACCTCTGGGGTTCCTAGACCCCCAAATGCCACCCTCCAGACCCCAGAGACTATGACTGCATCAGAAATATCTCAGGTGCCTGAGCCCCTGTCTGGGAAAGGCCTGCTCAGCCCGAGGCTCTCCAACAGCATGAGACAGTCCATAGCAGCCATTCTGTTTTACACATAGACTGGCCAAAACCCCAGGAAGCAGGGGTCGGGGGACCCCCTAGCAACACTGTTCATGATGTCAAGGACCTAGAGTCAACTCAGGCTGTATTAACTTTCCATCACTGGGATAAAATACCTGTGCCTGTATCTTCAGAAGCTTGCTTTGGCTGTCAGTTTCATAGAGTTTAGTCCACAGTTGGCCGGCTTCAAGGCAGAAAGCATGGTGGAGAAAGGCTGCTCAATCTAGCAGCTAGGAAGCAGAGAGGAAGACAAGAACAGTCTGGGTTACACCCCTGGTAAGCACCTTGAACAGGTCTTTACTCCTGAGAGTACATTCAGCCATGAACTCACCTATGGACGGACCCCACTGATGCAGGTAGCACCTCGTGATCCAGTCACCTTCCCCACCCCAAACACAGGAACTTGTACATCTACACCACGATACAGGCCAAAATTAGGAAAACGACAGGTAAGAGTAAAGCTGCTCCGTGCAGTGCTGTGCAGAGGAAAATTCAACACAGATGAATCAGTAAATTGAGAAGACTGAAGTGTGATACCAATGGTTCTAAGCCAAGGTACCTGTGATCGTCTTATTTTCATTAAAAGGGATGGTGCCCAACAGCACGTGGAAAGGACCACACACCATGACCAAGTGGGATTTGTCCCTGGGATGCACGGATGGTTCACGAACGCCAGTGTAATGAGCCGCACTAGCAGAACAAGGGTGAGAGGTTACAAGATGATCCCAGTGCACACAGAAAGGGCATCTGACAAAATTCATTCTCTCATACCAGGAATAGAAAGGAATTCCTTCAGCATAGTAAAGCCCATGTGGGAAAAGCCCACAGTTAACATAATGGTGAAAACAAGCTTTCCTTTAAGATTGGAAATAAGGTAAAAATGCCCACTTAGCACTTCCCCTGGACTGATCCCAGGGCATTCACACTGCCTACACCCCTAGCCCTTTCCTAAAACTTTGAGACAGGATCAGGCTAGGTTACTAAATTGCCCAGGCATGCAGAGCATTGGATTACAGGGTCTTGCTCTATAATTCAGGCTGGGCAGCATTGAACTCACTATGTAGCCCAGCTGGCCTTAAACTTGTGATCCTTCTGCCTCAGCCTCCTGAATGCTAGGATTACAAGTGTGCATCACTACACCTGGCTTGCCTAGTGACTCTTAACACCTATTAAAAGAGTATAATGCTGGGAATTGTAGCCAGAGTGATTATGCAAGAAAAAAATAATAAAAAAGCAAGGTAAAAATTAGACACAAGTAAAGTCTCAACATCAGACAGATTCTTATATAGAGAAGATTCTAAAAGGCTCTACTTAAAAGTTGTTAGAACTAATCACAGAATTGCCCTTGGCCTGCAGTCCTGCTTCAGAGTATACGGCCACAGAACTAAAAGCAGAGATCCAAATATGTGCGCACCGATGTTCATAGCACCACCGTTCATGACAGAGTGACGGCTAGCTGTGGAAACAATGTCATTGTCCATGTGTGCACAGTGATAGCCAGGAAAAAGTATGAGCCCTTCATGTTCTACAACATGGATAAACCCTGAAAACATTGGTAAGCAAAATAATGGCATATACTATGATTCTTCTTAGATCTTACAGTATCTAGAACAGGCAAATACACAGAAACCCAGAGTAGAAGCCAGGTATTGCCACACGCTGTAATCCCACCATTCTGGGAGGCTGAGGCAGGAGAATCATTTTGAGCCCAGCCTGGGCATCTCAGATCAGAGAATGAGACTGTCTCAAAATTAAAAAAAAAAAAAAGATTAAAGGGCTGGGGATGTAGCTCAGTGACAGAGCACTTGTCTAGCATGGGTTCCGTCCCCACCAATGCAGAAACATAGTCAACTCAATAGGAAATGCTCTTCAAAGGACACTTCACCAAAAAAGTGAAGATATAAAATATGCTTAATAAGTTGTCAGAGAAACTACAATCACAACATGCTACCATTATATCCTCAGCAGAATGACTCAAGTACGGAGACTGACAATACCAAGTGGTTTTTATTGTTGGTTACTTGAGGCGCAGGGTCTGTGTGTGTGTGTGTGTGTGTGTATGTGTGTGTGTGAGTGAGAGAGAGAGAGAGAGAGAGAGAGAGCGTGAGCGCGCGTGAGTGGTCTCGCTATGTAGTTCAGCCTGGCCTTCCAGTCAGTGACCCTCCTGCCTCACAGCTTCCCTAGCACTAGGGTTACAGGCGTGTTCCACTACACCTGGCACAATACCAAGTGTAGGTGGGGCTGTGGAACTATAGGTGCCCAGACACTGGTAATGTGTACATCAGAGCAACCACACAACCACGGGAAACAGCATCCACGGAAGCTGAAAGTCAAGGTACATGAAGACCAGCAGTTCCATTCCTCATCTCACAGCAGGAATGGCTGCCGACACCCTAAGCAGCACTTTCCCAAATGGCCTCATGCTGGAGGCAGCCTCAGTATCCACCGACAACAGGACGGGTAAAGTAGCTGAAGTACAGTAAGATGCCAAGAGGGCGGAAGTGACGTTGTGGGGTTTGCCAGCTCACGGTGATAAAAACAGACCAAGCTGGGCGTGGAGGTGCATGCCTGTGATCCAGCTTCTTGGGAGTCTAAGGCAAGTGGATCACAAATTCAAGGTTATCCTGGGCAGGACAGTAAGACGTTGTCTCAATGTTTAAAATAGTGTCGATGGGTCTCTGGTAGAGCACTTCCTGGTGTGCACTTGACTGTGTTCAATTCCCAGCAACCCATACCCACACCTAGATAAACCTCAAGTTGATTTCTTTTCTAGTCTTTCCTCCCCCCTCTTCTTTTCCTTCCTCCCTTCCCTCCCTCCCTTCCTTCTTTGTATGAAATGTTCTATTTCTAGTGGCCTAGAACTGAAATCCTCCTGTCTCAGCCTGTTGAGTGCTGGGATTACAGGTGTGCACCGTGCACCCCCACCCCCACCTGTGTTCCATTTTATTTCAGTCTCCTACCTTGAGCTTTCTGCCACTGGGGCAGACTGTCCTTCCTTTTGTGTCCCAGGCACTGTTGTGGTATATTATGGGATGGAGCGCTAACATGCTATTTAAAAAACGAAAGTGAACAAATTAACATTCTTTAAAACCTGAATGAACATCATATACTGTTGAGGGAAGAGTCAGACATGAATGAGCACTCAACACTGCAGTCCCACTGCTATGGGACTGGCTGGCTGGCTGCATCACCCCCAGTGTGCCTGATCTCTCATGCGAAATTTGAGTGAAAGTTTAGTTAAAAAGGAAAAAAGGTTATAATTGTAGAACCCTTGCCTAGCAAGCATGAGCCCCGGATTCAATCCCCATAAATGCAAAGCAAAGCACCAAACACCTAAACAAACTGAATTATAAACATACAATTCCATCACAAACCAGGGTCTGAAAAATTATAGGATACAGAAATCTTTGTTATGGTCTACACATGGGGGATTGACCCCAGGGCCTTCTCACAAGCTACATCTTCATGCCTTTTTAAAATGTTAAGACAGGGTCTTTCTTTTTTTGTTTTGTTTTTGTTTGTTTGTTTTTTGAGACAGGGTCTCCCTATGTAGTTGAGACTGACCTGGAACTCACTATGTAGCCCAGGCTGGTCTTGAACTCACAGTGATCCTCCTGCCTCAGCCTCCCGAGTGCTGGGATTACAGGCGTGCACCACTACACCTGGTTTTATTTTATTCTTAAACTGCACAATGTGCCTGGGAAGATGTATATTTGGATATACTTTGCAACATTGTCTGTAACAGTAAAAAAGTGGAGGGAATCTTGGTGACCAGGGTCTCTGGCCCCTGGGCTCACCCCACCAGCCTAGCTCTGGGACCCAGAGCTCCTCTGTTCCTCCCTGACCTGGAGGCCGAGAGGATGAATAATAGAGACACGGAGTCAGCTCAACAGGTGGGCAGCCCATGGGCTCAGGCCTCTAACAGGCGGATCCCGAGTCTTTGCCTCCCCTCGCTTTTATTCCCCAAACACAGGTACAAAGCAACAAGATTCATCTGGTTCCCAGTATCATTAGTTCGCACTCTGGTACACAACTTCACCCCAGCTGTCGTAAATGGTCCCTAACACGCAGGCTCACCTCAGCGCAGCCTTAGCTCTTTCGTGCTCACAGAGGCCAGTTAGGCCTTCATTCTCTCCCCATCAACAGGAATCAAAATATACAAGCTGGATGGATAGGTAAGTCTCCTGCATAAGCACAGTGGAATACTATGTAACAGTTAATTGAATGGGTAGAGGCATGGATTTGGCTAACTCCCAAGAACCCAGTGTTGTAAAGTAAATCAGTTTTGCAGCTGCCTGTGCAGTATCTCATTGAATATATATGCACGCGCATATAGAAAGGAAAGGCTTAACCGTTCTTCCCACCAACTGGTATGCCAGGTGCCTACCATACCCTTCCAGCAATCCCATGAGCAAACTCCTAACAGCAAGTGTTTTTCAGAGAACAGGAAACAGGCTCAGCTAGAGGAGGCTCATCCAGGGTCCCTCAGAGCCCCAAAGGGAGCCCAATACCAGGGACCCGCAGGCTGGCTCCTCCCGGCCCCTCTCTGCTGGGTGGCCTGAAGACTCAGCCCTGGGCCGGTTCCTGGGCCCACACTGGGCAGGAGGCCCTGTAACTGCAGCCGCTGCCTCCACCCCTGCCCACAGCCTGGGGAAGCCCCGGCTCACCCAGCCAGCGACAATGCTCCTATTCAGCGCTGTCCCTGCCGCCAGGCCTGTGGGCCAAGGAGGGGGGCTCCTGTTGGCGTCCAGGCAGGGACTATAGCTGGCCTTTCCTTGTGCTGAGCCTCAGGCTGGGCTGGCTGTACCTTGGGCAGCATGGAGTGGTGAGTCTTTGGGGCTCCGAGGGGCAAGGGGACCTTCGGGTAGTTGTGTGGCTGCAGGTCGACCCCACTCTTCTCTGGGCCTCGGAGAGGCTGGGGGACAGGGACTCCCAGGGGTGGGTTGGCAGGAGGATGTTGGACGTCCAGGCCACTCTGGGACTTCTTGTGCTCTGGTTCTGGGGCCCTGTCCAAGGCTCAGCAGCAGTCCCTTGAGCCCCGCAGACACTGTCCCCGCAGGGACCCCCTGATTGGGTCCCTCCCTGGCTGGCCTGCCAGCACCAAGATGGGTGGACCTTGGCACTCAAACACAGTGACAGTCATGAGCAGGGAGGGGGAGGCACAGCCCTCGTGACAAGAGAGGCTGCGCAGATGCTGTGCGACGTGGTTAGGAACAGAAGTGAGGGCTGGTGATGGAAGGGACAGCGACACCCTTCACACTTATGGTCGGTGGGGGAGGTGGGCGCCATGGAAGAACCTGAACCGGATTCCACTAAGGCAGGAGGGAGATGCTGAAGGTGTGCAGCTGGGGAGCCAGGCTCCCAGTTGTATTCTTGAAAGTTCTGCTCAGCTGCTGACGGGTGAGCAGAGCCGGAGGGAGGCGAGCAGAGCAGGAGGAGGGAGGCCAGAGAACCACGGTGGCGGCCACTGTCCCTAAGAGGTCGGCAAGCTGGGAGTGGCGGCACTCGCCTGTCACTGAAGCTACTTGGAAAGCTGAGGCAGGAAGATCACAAGCTCGAAACCAGCCTCGTCAAGTTAGTGACTTAGCAAGACCCTGTCTCAAAATAAAAAAATTAAAAAGGGGCAGGGATGTAGCTCAGTGTGAAGGCCTAGGGTTCAATCCCCAGTACAAAACAACAACAAAAAAGGGACTCACTGTGCTGATTTTGTGAGTCTGTTTCCTCCAGGGTGAAAGGGCCGGTAACAAGCTCTGGTGTGTGGGATGGGGAAGTTGGGCCATCGCCACATGGGCTCTAAGGCTAGGCTGGTTGAAGGGCGGCCAACTGTCCTCTCTCTCCAGGCCCCAGAGATTCACCCGTGTCCCCTTGCTGCTGCTGCTACTGCTGTTGCTGGGCCCAGCCTGGCACACAGCCGCCCAGCGCTGCCCACAGCCCTGCATCTGTGACAATGCCAGGTGGCACGTTTCCTGTCGCCACCAGAACCTCACTGAGGTGCCCGGCGCCATCCCAGAGGTCAGTGGGGTGGGAACATGGGCACAGGATGGCAGTGTGGCAATGGGTGGGGCTGAGGAGTCTGGGCTGGGCAGTGGATCTGTCACTGCCTGGTGGAGACAGCCTGGTAAGTAACTTCCCTCTGAGCTCAGTCTTCATCTCTGTAAAATGGGAGACAATACACAATCGCAGGGCTGTGCGTGGTGGTATACGAGGGAGGCTGAGGCAGGAGGCTCATCATTAGTTTGAGGTCGGCCTGAACTGGACATGGAGACCTTATCTAAAAACAAAACAACAAAAAACCCTATTGGGTCAGAGATTTAGCTAGCAGCATGGCGCCTGCCTGGCAAGCACGAGGTACCCTACAGAAAAATACTGGCTTCAGCACAGATCCTTTAACAGAGAACTGAGATGTAGCAGGGTAAGATGCTGTCCTTGGCCTACAGAGTTAGGAGGTAGAGGAGGAACATAAGCAGGCAGTGACGAGACAGTGTGACCAGTGCCATCGCGGGGTGGGGGTGCTCAAAGGCTGGGGGTAGGAAAGGCTTCCGGGAGGAGGCGTCGGGGAGCAGGGTGAAGAGAAACGAGGGAGCAGTTCTAGGCGAGGGACAGGCACGCGCGGTGCTCAGCTTCGCCTTCCCTTCGCCTTCCCCTCGCCTAGCTCACGCAGAGGCTGGACCTGCAGGGCAACGTGCTGAGGGTCATCCCCCCGGCCGCCTTCCGGGACCTGCCGCACCTCACACACCTAGACCTGCGGCACTGCCAGGCGGAG